GGAGTGTTGATCTGCCTGAGGGTAGGAAGGTCCACTTTTCATCACAGTGGACTCACATTGAATTATACAAGATTGTTTATTAACAGTATCAGAAATATTAAACAATTTGAAGAATTAATACACACAATTATTGTGAGTTCTGTACTAGAACCTCTGTTTTAGCAATAGACTTTCTTCTGCCACTATCCTAACCTGAACAAGTCTTATTCTACCACTGAGGTTTCTACACAAGCACAGGACATTATACCCCTAAACAGCTTTTACAAAAACACCACTACTTACTTCTGGCTACTGCGCAAGTAAAGGGAAGGAAACCAATACTGGTAACAAACTTTAATTCAAAGTATCCCAAGTCACATGCTTTTTTTTTCCCCTTGTAGTTTGTTCTTAATTAGCTCCTGGAAAAATACAGTAATAATACGTAAAAGCCACAGTAATTCACCTTCGTTTTCTGAGTCTTCTGAACCAGCAGTTTCTTCACTTGTGACTTCGTCCTCACTGCTGTAGGCTTCACACTCAGAATCTGTAATTTCACCTTCTTCTGGCTCACTCTCTGTGTCTGCTGTTCTACTGTCATCTGTATATGCTGCAGTATCTGGTGTGCTTTTGCGTGAATATGAATTTACACTGTCTGCAGAAATAGATTCTTTGGCCGTTACACTGCTCTGTGGTTTTGTGTCCATTTTAGTCTTTTTTCTTATATTTGGAGACTCTTCTTCTTCAGTAGAACTTACTTGCTCAGTAGTGGAAAAACAATTCAGACTGTTAGAAGAGCAGAAATCATCTGTGTCCAAATCCTGAAGGGGAGTTATTAGAATATTACTCCACAGATTGAGTAATTTTAAAGTCTGCTATCAGCCTGGAAGTAAATTATTCAGTAGATATACTGACTACTATTTATAAGTGGTTAAATTTCCATAAAGTTTAGTGCATGTAGTCAACATTTTGGTAGAAACATTTTCACAACCTTTTGGACATAACTGAGGTCATCTTCTATTTGGGAAAATGTGACTGCGCTCCTAAACTTCACTTACTCTCTTTTCTCACACAGAACATAAGATCCTTGTCTGCACTTTCAAACTTGTACAATGGCATATTTTCCAGTGTCGCTTTTATGTCATTTACTTCTGTCCCTCTCTTACTCAATTCTCGCACCTTGTTCAAATATTCTTTAATTGATTTAATAGTTTCTTCCTCCTGTTTCTGTCTTCTCATTTTTTCCACAAGGGTCCAGAATATCTGGAAAGCCCACCCATGACCTACTCTTCCTCCTTTCAAAACTGCACCTTTAACAAAGCATTTAATTAACATTCTGTGGAGAATTTAAGTTTAATTTACGCTATGAGGAACAGTTCTATGGAGAATCCATTTTCTACCACAACAAATTTCTTCATTGAAAACCAGACAGATTAGATTATTGCAGGTTCTTCCATTGCCACTTGATTTCATCAGTGGAAAAGACAATCAACATTTTTTTTTTAACTGAAAAATCAGAAGTTTCAGATTAATTTTGCCAGAGTATCTTGGAAATGTAGTTCTCCATCTAGTAGCCTGATGACAATCTTAAAAACAAAAAATCAAAAAGCCCCCACCAATGGCTTTAAAAGATAAATAAATAAAAATCTCAGATTTTAAGTTATTTGCCACCCTGGATTCAGAATGAACGCATTCAATTGCCCTCAATTGTACCAAATACTGTGACACAGTAATTATAAATAATCCTTGACTTTTTTCAGTGTTTTCATATAGAGCATTTTACATTTCAAGATACATGAATTAATGTCAATGTTAACATAATGGAAATAAAAGCCCTTTCAATTTTCAGAATTGTAAAAATTTATCACTGGCACAGCTGGAAGACAAACAAGAATTCCTCTCAGCACAACAGTCAAGCTGTTGGATAGGACTTCAGTGTAATTTTGAAACACTTTCATTAAGAGAAGATTCTCAGGAATAATTGGCAAATTTTAAAAGACCTCATGCTTTAACTGAAGGACTGTCAGTTTGTTTATGGTTTCTCTATAATGCACTAGCCTTCTTCCCTGAATCCTCTAAGTACTGGAACTAGGAAAGAACAGGATTGCAAGATTACTGCCTAATGTAATTTATTTTACATAAAATACAGAAGTATCTTATTTTTCATTAAGGTACAAAAAAGTTTCTGACTTAGAGAAGACTACACAGTTCATGTGTGTCAGTCAGATTAATTCAATTAGAAATATTTTTGGAAAATATTATTTTTATTTCTATCAATGATCTTTTCCAGTGTATTTATCTTTGTCTATATTTATGTTTAGTATGAATATTAGATTGATACCTGACATACCAAGGTGCTCTGCAATCCTAAATGTATTTTTTCACCATGATACTGCGAGCTACCAAAGTTTTAATAATCTAATCTGAAAACAGACAAACTAAAGGGTCAGCTCAAATCACAACTGAAGCAAATCAAAAGATGACTGGGCTGTACCAAAAGAAGCATGAGGTGATTCTCCCTCTCTGCTCCACTTTCATAAGACCACACCTGGAGTACTGCATCCAGCTCTGGGGTCCCCAACATAAGAAGGACATGGAGCTGTTGGAGCAAGTTCAGAGGAGGGCCACAAAGACGATCAGAGGGCTGAAGCACATCCCCTATGAAGACAGGCTGAGAGAGCTGGGGTTGCTCAGCCTGGGGAAGAGGAGGCACCAAGGAGACTTTATAGGAACCTTCCAGTACCTAAAGGGGCCTACATGAAAGCTGTAGACAGACTTTTTACAAGAGCAGGTAGTGTTATGATGAAAGCTAATGTTTTCAAACTGAGAGAAGGTAGATTTAGGTTAGATATTAGGAAGACATTCCTTACTCTAAGAGTAGTGAGACACTGGCACAGGTTGCCCAGGGAAGTTGTGGATGCCACCTCCCTAGAAGTGTTCAAGGCCAGGTTGAACAGGGCTTTGGGCAACCTGGTCTGGTGGGAGGTGTCCCTGCCCATGGCAGGGGGGTTGGACTGGGTGATCTTTAAGGTCCCTTCCAACCCAAAGCATTCTGTGATTATTCGAGGCACTGATGCCCAAGTATAATGCTCAAACCACTCAGCTCTTTCTCCATAGTGAATCTAGTGGTACTTGTGTTTGGTATTGCTTCAGATATTCTAAATTAGAAAATAGAAAGCTGCTACTTCAAAACCTAGCTACTAAAGAATAACCTTTCTGTTCTGGGTTGAAAACAGGAATTTTAAAAAACACTCCTATAGAGAGACCAAGGATTCTGTATGTACATTCTGCCAATATGACCATTAAGCCTATTCTCAGCAGTTTCTGTATCTTTCCACTCTTACTACAATTAACTGTTAAGAAAGTAAATAAACTTAATAGTTCACTTAAGTACTGATAAAAATGTAATCTTTGCATTTACAAATCTTTGTACAAAATAGAGGATTTTAAAATTACATTCCTAAAAAATATGGATTTTGAGCCCTTTATGATTTCACAGCTCTGTGTTAAAATGCACATCTTGATGATAACATTAACCCTGGGGATGCTGGGGGAATGTATTCTTAAAGTATTTGAGAGAGTCTTGTGCTGAAGAAATCCTTTTCCATTGTGCACAAACTCTAGTAATAACACAGAACACAGCATGCATAGCAGCATAATTGTGCAAACAGCACCCAATACCTTGCCTCCATACAGCCACAGCTTAAAAACCAGGAACCATCAGTAAACAGAATATTCAATAAACATCATCTTGAATGATCTAACAAATACCAGCAAAGTATTTCATTTCTCATTAACTCTTCTAACTCTTCCCAAACTGACACAACACAGAAAGTATACAAGTATGTGCTCATTATAACTATGTTTGTTACAGCATTCCTCTGTATGTTGCTTTGCCCAATTATCTAAATAGTCAGCAGACCTACCTCATCAGTTTTATGTTGGATTTGGGTTGCCTCTATGTGAGTTAGCTTTGAAAATCTTTGTATCTACTGGGTATCTCTGGCTTCTCTCTCACTAAGCATGAGTAAAATTGAGAGCTGGGATAAATCTGACCCATAATAAACTACTTCTTAACTATAGGGTTGAGTCAGTTAATAGTTCTGCATCCCTGACAAAGACAGCCAAAGGTGCAAGTGAAATCAGGATTTTTATGTATCCCACAAAGAGTGATCTTATAAGAATAACAAATCATGTTCATATAACTGTAATTGACGATTTTGCTTCACGAATAGGCCACAAGCTACTGATTACGATGACCTGAAGTGCATATTGGCCCACTTACAAAGTACACAAGAATGACCATAGTCACTGCAGTGTTTTTAATGAAAAATTCAAAGTATTTTAAGCACTGAACTATACTTTTTGCATTACTGTGACAAAGCAAGACATTTTGTCTTTCAAAACTTCATTTTTTTCTGTATTATGCCTGATTGACTTGCATACGTAACTCTTCAGCATGCCTACAAATTAGAACTTAAAAATTATTCCAAGCATAATTAGACTAATTGCAAGAAATGTACTATTTAAACTGTATTGTTTTCTACATTGATCTATTTTATACAAAACTTAGAAATACAACTGTTCAGAAATGTGTGGTCTGTTGCTTCTTGGTTTGCTAGAAGTTCAGCAG